TACAATAAACAAATGACTTCGGCATACAACTTCACCAGGTCAAATCATAATATCAAATGTAGGTCAGAGGTCAAACTTAAGGTCATTATAGGAATTCATAATAGTACTACTTCTGCTAATAATATTATTTAGTTAAGGTGGGGATGGATGTAGTATTAGTAGTTGCAACAGCAGCAGCAGCAGCAGCAGCAGCAGCAGTAGTAGTAGTAGCAGTAGTAGTAGTCGTAGCGGTGTTACTATCATCATCAACAACAACATCAACATCATCGTCATTATCAACAACAACGTCATTATCATCATCATCAACAACATCATCATCATCAACAACAACAACGTAATCATCATCAGCACCGCCGTCTCCATACTTTATTAAAGAAAGCCGAAACAACCAACAATTCAACGCTGAAGACTCTCCTAGCATTTTGTTTTTGTTACTATTGCCTGTTCGTTATTTATTATTATTATTATTATTGTTATTATTATTATTGTTATTATTGCTTATTATTGTTGTTATTGTTTGTTATTATTATTGTTATACCAGGTGTATTAATTAAAATGTGTATTAATCTTCATTAGGAAAAAAATGTCTTCAGGGGGAGAATCGACGACGACGATGTTGCTGATGATGATACTGTTGTAGTAGTAGTAGTAGTAGTAGTAGTAGTAGTAGTAGTAGCTGATGATGATGATAATGGTGGTGAGGATAATGATTATGATGATGGTGGTGGCGGTGATGATGATTTCGGAAAAATTGTACTTCAAGATTTTTCAAATTCTCGTTATAGGTGTATCTTTTTTATACTTTGTATGGGCAATTTTAACCGTTCATTCGTTCGTTCGTTCGTTCATTCGTTCATTCGTTCATTCGTTTAGTCATTCATTAATGTTTTTAATCAATCGTTCATTCATATCTTTATTCGTTTCAACATTCATTCCGTCATTCATGTATTTATTAATTGTAGTAGCAGTGACAATAGTAGTAGCAGAAGTAGTGGCAGTAGCAGCAGCAGCAATAGCAGCAGTAGCAGTAGTAGTAGTAGTAGTTGAGATGTGTAACTTTAATAAAGACTTGAGCATTTATCATTCTGCCCGGAACTGAACGCCTATATCTTTGTTAAATATACTTCCTTAAATTCTATATAATGTTTTGTATATTTGTTTGTTTGTATGTATGCATGTATAGATGTATGTATGTATGTATGTATGTGTGTGTATATATATATATATGTATGTATGCATTAATGTATATACGTATGTATGCTTTTATCACATTAATCATCATACATCTCAACTTTTAACACTTATGTTAGCACCATAAAACAAAGAAACATACATACATACATACACATACATACACATACATACATACATACACATATATACAATCAAAACATTTATATAACTGTCAACAAGCAATAATATATACATCAGAAATAATACAAAAACAAACAATGTTGTTGTTGCTGTGGTTGTTGTTGTTGCTATTATTAATTTCTGTGTTTTTATTTATTTTTTTCATTACATTACGCCACCTGGAGATATGAGAACACGCCCACGCGGCATCCATCTTGGATTCTGTCTCGCTTCACTATTTCCGGTTCGTATCTTTTATTCTTTTGCTCTTTGGTTTTTCGTCTTTTTATTTTGTTTTCGTCGTTTTTGCAGTCTGATCTATTGATGTATATATATATATATTATTTTTTTCTAGTACGCATTTTATACGTTCTCTCTCTCTCTCTCTCTCTCTCTCTTTCTCTCTCTCTCTCTCTCTCTCTTTCTCTCTTTATATATATATATATATATATATATATAAAGAGAACATATAAATATATATATATAATATATATTTTTATATGTTGAAGGAGACCATACTTTATACAGTCTTGTGTGAATTCTACCGAATTGTTGGAAGTATGCATTGTGATACGTCTTGATAGTGAAGTGTTCAAAACACCAACATACCATGGTTGTTGGCGCGCTCGTACACTCGTTAAGAGGGTAGTTGTTCTTTAGGAGTGTAGTTGTCTTTAGGAGTGTAGTTGTCTTTAGGAGTGTAGTTGTCTTCAGGAGTATAGTTGTCTTCAATAGTGCAGTTGTTCTTTAAGACCATGTGTGATGTCTTACAATTATTGCAGTATATTCTGAGTTTTATTTTATCAGTATCATTGACTGGTTTAACGTTCATTTTTACAATTAGTTTGTCTGAGGACGGCGGTACTGATGATGATGGCAATTACAACCGATAAAATATTCCGAGACCATTACCGACACGGTTTTTCATCAATTCGATACGCTTATCTCTTCTTTAAATCGGTTACGATACACTATTATCTGACTTTGTGTGTTTGTTTGTGTGTGTGTGTGTGTGTGTGAGTAAGTGTGTATGCATGTACGTATATATGTGTGTGTGTGTATGTGTTTGTGTGTGTTTGTATACGTGTTTGAGTCACATACATCGTAGGCCATTGCCAGCCAGTAAAGGTTAATTAGTGAATAACTTAAAAAATGGTATGTATGAATATTAAAATGTTTTAATACATGTGTGTTTGTACGTGTGTATGTGTGTTCGTATGTATGTTTGTGTGTTTGTTTATGTGTATGTGTGTGTTTGTTGAAAGATTCTTGGTTCTACATACATATATAATTGATCAATGTTGTATGTATTATATTATTGCAACACTAACAACAGCAACAACAACAATAATAACATTAAAAAGACTTAATTAAAGACTCTTTTTCCACGCTATCACATAAATCATGCAACAAAAAAACATAAACACAAGAAACAAAGACACACACACACACAAAACAAAAAACAATAAACCGAAAACACTAAATCATTCAATCGTTAAATTAGCAGTATTTATGTAGCGCGCGTTTTTGTTTCCCCTTCTCCGTACGGATTTTTCTTTACTTTCCCCTAGAGGAATCGGTCCGCAGTCGTACGTATGATTCGCTAATCGGTCGGTCGGTACATTGATATGAATATTTGTCGGTATTGTCGGTTTATCGTGTGTTTGTAGATGTGATTATGCACGTACGTGTGTGTGTGTATGTATGTATGTGTGTGTGTGTGCATGAGTGTGTGATTGACTGTTTAATTTTTAGTATTGTTGAGTTTAGTAGTAATGAAATTATGAATTTTCAATGCCATAGTAGGTTGCTCAATGGTCATTCTTTGATTATTTATTCCTTCACTCAATCATTCATCTATGCAATCGTTCATTCATTCATTCATTCATTCATTCATTCATTCATTCATTCATTCATTCATTCATTCATTCATTCATTCATTCATTCATTCATTCATTCATTCATTCATTCATTCATTCATTCATTCATTCATTCATTCATTCATTCATTCATTCATTTGCTCGTTCGTTCGTTCGTTCATTCATTAATTCATTCATTCATTCACTCGCTCGCTCGCTCGCTCCCTCACTCATTCACTCATTCATTCATTCATTCATTCATTCATTCATTCATTCATTCATTCATTCATTCATTCATTCATTCGCCTATTTGTTAGTTTAGAAATATTTAAATTTTCTTTTTAAAATGTTTTCCCTCATTTGAAAATTTTGAACAAAAAAACCGCCTTGACAAAGAATTAGTTTATAATAACGACATCTATATCGCTATTTTTCTTATTTATTTACTTATTTAATATCATTTTTATTTATTTATTTTTTCATTATTCATTTTTATTAATTTATTTATAAATCTTTTTATCCATTTATATTTTTTTTCTATATTTTTTCAGTATCGAATTGCATCGTAAAACAAATTTTTCAGTAGCTTGTTTTGCAAATATTTTTTATAGTACCAGACACACGCACACACACAAACGCACACACACAAAAAACACACATACACACACACATACATACACCTACAAACAGACAGACAGACACATAAGCAAACATAGGTATATTTTGTTTTAAGCACATCTACTTGGAGTTAAATTGAATTCAAATAACAATGAAGTTGAAGAATTTTTTTCAGATAAATTCTTTTAAAATTATATTTTCATATTTTTTTGGAATAACTTATGTCGAAACAATATGCTAAATGTCATTCCATCACAAATAACACACAACATTTATACCTATGTATGTATGTGTGAGTGTGTTTGTTTGTGTGTGTTTGTGTGAGTGAGTGTTTGTGTCATTGTGTGTCTGTTTATATAACATATATGTAAGCATTTTTATTATTATTATTATTATTATTATTATCAGGAGATTTTTATAGCGCGCGTTATGAAATTTGACTTTATTACAGTCTCTGAAACCGGTTCTAAAAAATATTTGTGCAAATATGTATATACGTATTTTTTTATATATATATTTGTTAGATATATACACATAAATATTTTATGTTAATGGCTGTATTATGTAGAAAGAACCTGTCTTTATTTAAATTAATTTGTGACCTGATTGGTAATCTTTTTACGCGGATTTACTTTTAGAAAAGAAACATTGTGTTTTTAAATTTTAAATGTCTCTTTTCGTAATCTCCTAATAACTTCCTAATTCGAAATACAAATTTTGAAAATTTATTAAATGAATGATTTAAAGTTTGATAACTGAGGTAAACTCGGAGACCACACGCTGGTTTTCTAAGCAATATTTATTTATAGTCTTTTAGTTGCACTGGGGGAGAACCATACTTATGTGTCGTAAACTGTTGACAGTATATAAGTATATATATATATATATATATATATATATATATATATATATATAAGTAATTAAATATTGCTTGAAAAACCAATTTGTGGTCTCCGGGTTTGCCGATAACTAGTTTTTGATTAGTTTGCTGGTTTAATAACTACTACAATTTAAGTTATAATCCTGCTACCTAAACTTATTTGTTGAGTTTTTAATACTGTTTAACTTTAATTTTAATCATTTATTTTATTTAGTATTTTTAGTTATTAGAAGTAGATTGATTTATTCAATTTATTTATTGATTTTATTCATCAGCTGAATTGCCCAGAGATGAGTAATAGTCTGGCCCCCAGCAAAAGCACCGTCTATGTTGCCAACCTACCTTTCTCCCTAACTAACAACGATCTTCACAAAATTTTTGAAAAATATGGCAAAGTTGCTAAGTAATACTATAATACTAACTTTTATTTTGCCTAACTAATTGAATAAAATAATCAATTGAAAATTTTATTGTATATTTTATTTATAATTAGTCTAATAAAAAATGAATGCTTTTTAATATGGTTATAAACTCTCATTACAATGCAATCCTTCTAATTGGCTTTTCAATATTAACTTTCTTCACTTCTATTTTTCTCCCTTTCTTTCTTTTTGCTTTCACGCACACACCCTTTCTCCTTTTTCAGGATAACAATCCAGAAAGACAAAGAAACTTGGAAGAGTCGAGGCATTGCTTTTGTGTTGTATGTTGAGAGGTCCAGTGCCCAAAAATGTGTCGAAGAATACAATAATACCCAGGTATACACACACACACACCACACACACACACACACACACACACACACGCACACAAATAAATATAATCATGAATAAATAAATATATATTTTTATATATTTAATAATTATTATGAAGTAATATTTTATAAATCATTTTTTTTAGCTTGGGGGCCGAACGATAAAATGCAGCATAGCGAAAGATAATGGAAGGACCACCGAATTCATCAAAAAAAAAGTATACAAAGATAAATCACGGTGCTATGAGTGTGGTGTTAGTTCTTTGTTTTGTTTATTATTTTATTGTTATTGTTGTTATTGTTTACTGTTTATTATAATAATAATAATAATTATTATTATTATTATTTTTCAGGAAGAAGGTCATTTGAGTTATGACTGCCAAAAAAATATTTTAGGCCCTAGACAACCTCCTGCAAAAAAGCCAAGAAAGAAAAAATTAAAGAGGTCAGTTGTTTATTCGTTGGTCTATTATTATTGTTAATAATAATATTATTTGTTATGTTATTTTTATTTAATAATAATAATAATAATAATTATAATTATTATTATCATTCATCAGAAGTCACGATGATTGCGAAGATGACGTTGACGAAGACGACGACGATGATAATAATGGGGCCAGTAACAATAACAATAATAATAATAATACATTCAATAATAATAATGATAAAAATAATAATAATTATAAGGGTGATGATTTTGGCGTTAAGTATCCAACAGGAATGCTTTATCAGGTTAAAATGGACGTTTCTATCTTGTTTAAAATAATTTTCAACATACATAAAATTCTAAATATTGTCTACGTCTACCGATAAATTCTAAATATTGTCTACGTCTATGGTTTAATAATAATTATTATTATAAACATAATTAATAATGGTAATAATTAATAATAATAAAATTTACGTAGCGCTGAATTTGTTTGTAATATTTAATAATTCCTGACAGGAGTATGATGACGATGTATCGAGTGTACCAAAGAAGCGATATGTGAAAAGTAGTTATTTCAGTGATGAAGAAGAGCTGGACAGTTGATCAATTCGTTAATTAAAATTGACGTTCTGCCATTTAACATCTTTTATGTTCGACGCCCCTCTCTCTCTCTCTCTCTCTCTCTCTCTCTCTCTCTCTCTTTCTTTCTTTCTCCTCTTTCTCTCTCCTCTTTCTCTTTCCTCTTTCTCTATCTCCAACAAAGTTTTACGAACACACTGTCAACATATTGTTAACATTAATCATTGTAAATATCATCTCATCGTTATTATTAATATAATTATTATAACTCTTATTATTTGTATTCTTCTTATTATTATTGTTATTATTATTATGATTTTACTTGAGTTTTTTAATTTAAAAAAAGTTTAATAGTAAATTGAAAGGGTGAAGCGGAGAAAAGACATTTTGATTCGAAGAAAATAAGAGAGAGATAAGAGAAAATAAGAGAGTATAAGAGAGAGAGAGAGAGAGAGTGAGTGAGATTGATTAAAAGAGAAAGAAAAACAGAACAAAAAAAAAACCTTCTGAGTGGTAGAAAAAAATCCGTGTAAATAAATAATTTATATCGCTTCGTATACATTCATATATGTATGTGTTTGTTTTTATGTTTGTTTGTTTGTTTGTTTGTATGTATGTATGTGTGTGTGTGTTTGTGTGTTAAGGCCTTGATTAAGATTAATTAATGTAGTCAGAGATGTATTAATAATAAAAATAGCGAAAGGGTGCAATGTGCAAAGTCTGATAATCATTGTTATTGTTGTTTTTTGTTTTGTTGTTATTATTGTTATTATTATGGCATCTATATAAATAAATATATATATATATATATAATTACTTAATTGTTATTGCTAATGAGAATATATTATAAAGTCGCGATATAAGAAGTAATCGTAAGACCCTAAAACAGCAACAACAATAATAATACTTTTAATAATAATAATTATTATTATTATAATTATTATTGTTATCATTATCACCGTTACAACGTATCGATCCAACTTGTATTCATTTACCGGCAAACAAACCAACGGCTTAAATAAAAGAATGCGTTGGTTATGTATGGATATATGGACACTTTTTTTAATAATATTACTTTTGCTACAATTTTTCGGCATATATACACGCATACACACACTCACACACAAACAGACAAACATATAACTCTGCATAACTCTATATAACTCTATATATCTCTATATAACTCTATATCGAAATAAAGAAGAATGATAAGTATGAACTCTGTGTAACTTAATTTTCTGGATTGGGAATTCCAGGATGACGGCGATCGGGAATGACGGACGGGAATGGGATAAATTGGGATCAACGTGCAAAAATAAAAGTCTCGAACACATGTGATCGACTCATACATACACATAGGTCGACACGTGTGCTTCAACAAAGAAGATAACCATGTGAAATCACGTTAAAAAGAAATTCCCAGCTTAGCTGCTACTTGGTTACTACTTGGTATTTGGTTAATAATCTGATTTAGTTCTTTACATTGATTTATTTTTGAAGCTTTGTTTGTCGGGTTGAATTAAACTACAATAAATTTAGTAAATATAAATTATTTATTCAATAAGAGCGCGGAAATGAACTAAAAAAATAAGGAATGGGAATGGGAAGGTTACTAGAAACTAGAATGAGAAAAAAATTAGGAAGAGATTTTGAAAAAATTTCAATATCCGATCATCCTTAATACATACAGAACAGCTTGTTTTAACACATATACACACACACACTCGCACACACCACACACTCACACACACACACAAACACTTATTACTTGACAAAAGTTAATACGCTAAAACATGGTCTACTAAAATGAAAAAATGAATGGTGGAAGAATGGATGAATGGATGAATAAATAAGTATAATCGAATGTATGAATGAATGAACAATTTGGTGAATAAATAAATAAAACACACACACACGCGCACACACACACACACATACATACGCACATCTTTAAAGCAATTTTGCACATAATTTTTAATGTCTAGATGTTTATAAAAAGTTATTTGAATAAGAATATATCACGTTGAAAAGTATGTATGTATGTATGTTTGTTTCTATATGTATTTATATATGTAAACATATATGTATGTATGTGTGTACGTATGTATGTATTTATTAGTATATAGATGCATGTTTATCATCATTGCTCTGCAATCGCATAATGAAGATGCATGTGTATATATTTGTAGTCGGGGGTCTTCTATAGATCTATATTTTTCATTCTGACAAATTCGCTTAACTCATAATAGTTGTAGTATAAACATACGTGGTTCTATTATAATTGTATGGGATAAAACAATAATAACATTAATTATATTAACTTTTAACTATTCAATGCAAAACAAATGCATTTAAATGGAGACAAATTTTAAAGTGATTATATAATTTTAATAAGTTTTTTGTTATAGTTCCATGTTTTTTTATTGAAATATTTTTTTCAAATGCTTCAAGATTGTAGAAGTTGAGCTATAATAATTTTTTTATTTAAGTTAAGTTTTAGTCCCATTTAAATCGATTGGTAACGTAACGTTGTTTAAAAGTGAATTTAGCTGCTTTGTTTTGATTTGAGCTTAAAAATTTGTTCTAAGTTGCTGAAAAAGTGTGAATTTTTGATTAAAATTAAATTTTTTGTAAAATTATTTTAATTTTTAATCAGATTTTAGTTGTTCATGACAAAAAATATTTTATCGTTCTTAAAGTTCGAAAGTTTTTTGTTGCCAACATTCTTCATCACTCATCTTAAAATTTTTTTAATTTTTGATTTATTCTCAGTCTACTAGCTTTCCAACGAACTTTCTCGATTTAGGCAAGTCAGGTTTTCATTTTTATGATCTTTTTTAAAATTTTTAAAGTTTGCAATTAAACATGTGTGGATCTATCATATTTATTATTCAATTTTTAATAGTTCAAAATGTGTCAATCAATAATTTAAAATTTAAATTATATATATATATAATTATATATATATATAATTATATATATAATGCAGTGAATTATAGCTAATATAGTTTTTATTGTTTTAATGTAAAATAACATATGAAATATAACATATGATATAACATATGACAGATGAGAATTTTTTTAAAAAATAGATTGAAATAGATGCATAGATAAATAAATGGATAATGATGTCATTAAAAATGTATAATTATGTTTATAATAGTTTTCATAATTTTTGGAAGCTAATTACTAATTAAATATCTTTGGTATGTAGGCCAATTGACATTATATGGTCTGGTATTACACCCGCACACTTACAACACATACACACACACAAACACACACACACACACTCACATACATGTGTAAACAATTTTCAGTCTTCCTAAAAAAATCTGACAAATTAAAAATTTTTTAACAAAAATTTGTCTAATTTAAATTTCTAATTATAAAACTTTGCATTCTGTCATCCAATCAATCATCACCTACATACGGGCATACATACAAATTAACTAAAAATCACACACACACGCATACATACAAATACACAAAAATGTGTTCAAAAGTTTGGACATGAACATACAATGGTTTTAAGGACATTTGCAAATAAACACATACATGCAAACGCGCGCACACACGCACGCACACACACACACACACACATACATATACATGGTTATTGTCTAGGTTTACACCAATTAAAAGACAGAAATAATTACTCAAACTGTTATTGTGTTTGTATATATATAAAAAAACAGAAAGTGACTGAATGAATGAATGATTGATTGAATGAACGAATGCATGAATGAATGAATGCATGAATGCATGGATAGATGGATAGATGGATGAATGAACGACTGAACGAATGTAAAAATAAAATAGAAAATTCATGCACGAATGAATGAATAACTGATTGAGTAGATGAATTGACGGATGAATCAATGTATGAATGAATGAATGAGCAAATGAATAAATAATTAAAAGAAGGAATAGATGAATGAATGAAGCCCTGAAAGGAACATTAAATGGTTAGTTGGCAGAATGAATGAACAAAAGGTTAAAAATATTTGCTCAAATATAAGACAGACATGGAAATTATTGAAAATTGATAAATGGCTGAATGGATGAATGAATGAATGAATGAATGAATGAATGAATGAATGAATGAATGAATGAATGAATGAATGAACGAACTAACGAATAAGTGAATGATTAAATGAATGAATGAATATACAATAAATGAACAAACCTCTTATGAACATAATTCCATTTTAGACACAACAGAGAAGGAATTAGCAATAAAATGAACCAACAGATTGAACGTCTTCATTACAGGCGAGTACAAACACATTCATAAACAAATACCTGATGTTTTTACATTTTATACACGCACGCACGCACGCACGCACGCACG